AATGAAACGAAGAGATTTCTCATTGAAATTGAAAATTTCACTCTCGTCAAATCCGCACGCATGTGTTGTGATTTCGGTATGTAACAGATTATATTTGACGTAGCGCGTCAAGAGCCGACATTAAGAAGAGAGATCTCGTCGGTAAGACGAGTTTGGCACATTTGCTTCGATAAGACGAAGACGGAAAGTGAGTGTGACCCATGTTGATCCGATTCCATCAGAAATTTACAAGTCTTTTTCTCTCTCCCTGGTATGTGCGCTATGTTGCCGTGTATATTCTTGTTTTTATTTGTACAGCCATCATTCGTTCGCCTCTTGTTTATGTGCACAAATACAAGTTCACATTGCGAAATACCGGATTAAAATAAATAAATAAAGAAAAGGAAATCTCAAGGAAAATCGAAACCCTCTTTCTGTGTTATGCCACGCCGTTGCCTGCAGACTACACACATAAAAGTGAAAATGAAATGATTTCGTTGTAAAAGTGACAGAGAGAAAGAAAATGAAGCAGTTGCGAGGCACAGCCCCAGTGTCACGTTGTTCGCTCTCTGCATTCGTTTGGCTTGGATTGCGATGGAAATTTCATTGGCCCGTTCTTATTTTTCTTAACAGCAGATTTCGAACAGAAGACAAACTTCTTAATCCCTTTAGCGTGGAACTCAGTTATTCGTAATGGAAGCGATGTGCACAAAATGCGAATGTACATTTTTTGTGTTTCGTTTTATTTTCACCGTCTCTCTATCGTTGTCGTGTTGACTTTCAATTCAGTGCAAACAACAGAGCGACAACGATCTAGTGGAGAAAAGTGAAAGAAAAAAAACCTTGTCAGCTTATAAGCCATACCCATACGTACGATGCGTGTACATGTATATATGTATCTGTATTTAGCCACCCCATCCACTACAAACCTTCCGAACTGTATGTTCCGATTTCGTGTGCGTTTTTTTTCGTCTTCGGCTTGTTGTTTATATTTCGAGTGAAAATAAATTCATGTCTTACTTTCGCTTTTATTTTTCTTTCGAATCAGAGAACGAAAAGAAAAGCGGAGACAGTGGAAAGAAGTGTAACGAAAAACCTTTCAGAGATTTTCTACGTCGCACATTTAAATTGTGCAGTTTGCCGTTGTGCCCGTTTCGATGGAAGATTTTCATTTTTCGTCTCTATCAAAACAAAGACGGGGAAAAAACAAATTTTATTACAAATAATACAGCGACGAAAAAAAAAACGAACGAAAAATGCGTCAAAGTTGGTCAGAAAAAAGCGGTTGAATGTTACAATGATGAGAATGATGTAGACGCACAAAACACATTCATCCGAATTGAATAATATGCCATAAAACCCCCTAAAAAAGAAAGACGAGCAAAAACAACAAGCATTGTAATAAGACTAACTAGGAAGTACATGAGACGTGCGCACAGGGTGTGTGCAAAATATAGAAAAAATAATAGGAAAGTGTATTCGTTTCGGTTAGTTGCACTTTCCGATTGAGTGATCTAAAGAGATGTCGGTTGAGTGCCACCATCTCTCTCTCTCTCTCTCTCTCTCTCTCTCTCTCTCTCTCTGCCCATTGTCGGTGACGTGCAACGGCTGGCGCTGCGCTGATATGGACCAATCTCCAAGTGGAATGCTTTTGGGTATTATAAAGAGGAAAGAAGAAATGGAAGAAAAAAGGGATTTCATTAGACGACACAAGGCGACGCTTGTGCGAATCGAAAATCGCTTGAGAAGCGACAGAAAGTCATATCGAAATCCATAACGAGCAAACATATTTTTATGCTCCTTTGGCATGTTGATCCATATGGCGCTCGCTTTCGCATCCAACGCACACATACACGTACAGCCTGCTGATATCAACATGTATGCAGCCATGTATTTGGAGCAGAAAAGACGAGAGATGCTATTGTCGCTTCTGAAATCCATAGAAATTCATAGAGCGTTAACACAAAGCGAGCGGATGAGCGGATGCGCACATTGCCACATTCGCATCCATATTTATTGAGATTATTAAATAAACCGAATAACCAAACGAGAACGAGACGCACACGGAATCGAAAAATATTTTTCGCCCAGCGATAGAGTGAGAGTTCAATATGCAGGCCGTAACGATACATTTTCATGTGTGGCTGTGTCTTTCATAGTACAAAAGAAAATTATGCCCTACAACCATACATCTCCCGAAGCCGCAGCTTGATTAGAGTTTTCCCGAGCTGAGCCATTGCTCAAACAACACCCGTGTGCCCGTGCTCCGGGATAGAGAGAGAGAGAGAGAGAGAGAGAGATGACGAAAACATGAAAAATCATCAAACCGTAAACATGAGCGCATTACAAATGCCTCATATTGTATTTATTTATTAATATAACAATATATCTTGATATGAGGCGGGCACACATACTCTGCTTCGGCGACAGTGTCAACCGAAGTTCCTTCTATTGAATATAACGATATTTGTGGCAATTTTTATTTATTGCTTTGCGTCTTAGCCGTAATTTCTTTCCATTTGTTCACGGACTACGATGTGGATGGAGATGCGAGATGGAGACAGATAAACAGATCTATCGATGATGATGCGTAGCGCATGGTGTGCAATAATGTTGTGTGCACGCAATGCAATGATTGCGGTGTTAGGCCTAGTTGATTTTTATTGAATTAGCGACGCCTCGTGGTCGTGGGATTGCAGAAGGGGAAATATTACCAGCAAAAACCACATCGAATTACATCATTTCAGCAAACAAATTGTAACAACATGAACTCAGTGTCTAAAATAGATTGATGAGCCGAATGCAGAATCAATCGCGTTCCGAAAATGCCACCCAAATTGATCGATGAGTTTGGTGTGGTGAGCGAGCGAATGAACATTCAATGGATAGAAGTAAGAAAGAGAGTGAGAAAGAGTGTGTAAGAGCGAGAAATTTAATGAGCGGACATCACAAACAATCTGCTCGTGTGCAGATTCAATCAGCTCATAAAATTAATTGGAAACCAAAATATTTGCGTCACACCGACCGCACTGCAAGTCAAAGATAGTTTCAGTTTGTATTTACCATTACACACAGCACGAAGCACATAAAATTTAATCAAATAAACTGATATTTTGCCACAAGTTTTGTTATTTCTTCAGGCAAATTGCAACTATAAAATGCACATGCTTTCACATGTTCCCCGGATTCTGTATCGCTTTAAATGCTGCAACGTCAAATTCTAGATTGTATGTGCCATCCCCATTTTATCACTGTTGCATGTGGTTGCTGTGCACAATATTTCGGGCCGATACTTCTGTTTCAGCACTTTTGTTTACTTTCGTGCTCAAGTTGGAAATATAAATGATAATTTGTATTCAACACACACGCAAATGGAATTTTATTAAATTTCCTACATGAAAAAATTGAGTCTCAACCATCCGAATGTAAGATTAGGGTGGTCCAAACTGATTTATCATGGTAAGGTATATGCTTCCAATAGCTTAAAATTAAATTGGGCTAAAAACTAGCTGATTCTCTTTTTCAGATCAAAAATTGTTCAAATCCAGTGGTCGATAGAGCCGTACTAATGGCTGTTTTTGACCAATTTTTCAACATATATATTGATAGAAAACCCATAGGTTATTCAAATCGAATCTGGTGTCATATCATTTTTAGGGTTTTTTGGGACGCTAAACACGAATCTATTGTCAAAAATGAGCTAATATTGCTTTTCAAAAAAGTTTTAGTACAAAAACATGGTTTTTTTAAAACATATTAAGCCATATAGCAAAAATACATGGTTCCAAGTGTATTTTCAACACCAAATTTGAACTCAGCGCTTCAAATTATCTTAAGATTGACTATGCTGATGACAAAAATCGAATAATCTCAGAACTAAAATTTTCTAGTAGTGTTCACGTATAAAAAAAAATCACATTTTCCACGTATTTTTCCACCAAAAGTAAATTTTTGTTCAAAGCAGCCATTTTTATGGTTCTTTAGGCCGCAGAATTCGAATCCACCCAAAAAGAAATAACCAAAATTTTCAGTGGGAAAAATTGATATTTTTCTATACATTTATACGAATTTTTTTTGCGTTTTTCGGTTTTTCTCCTATAACTCGAACTTCATATGCGATGGAGCAGAACTTTGTTCAGCAAAGTTCTAGATATCGTTGGAACCTACAAGGTCTCAAGCACTATAATTTTGCTCCAGACAGTTCTCACTCATCTCCTATGAGTTTCGCAGAAAACGCGAAGGATGATAAGAAAAAAAAAACATGCCATAGGCCGATGTTTTTAATTCACGTGCAATTGATAAGAAATAAGAGATAACTGTCTTCAGCAATGTTATAGAGGATCTCAAGTACTACAACTTTTTGAAGACAACTAGTCGTTATCTCTTATCAGTTACGCGGAAACCGTGAAAAACCGGGACGACCCGCCAAAAATGAACATACATTCTTTCAACCATTGTTAGTTGCAGTAAAATATACTTCTCTTTATTGCTACGACGTTTGACGAACTTGTGTTCTTCTAGGTCTCACCAATTCATATCCACTATCGACCCACTTTGTTTTCAAGGCATTCAAATGCACGCAAACATCAATTACTTGACCATAGTTCGCTATTATTTATTGATATTATGAATAGCATTATTGAGCATTATTGAGAATTCCGAAGGATTATTTGGGATTATTTTTGTACTAGATTGCATTATTTGAATTATACAAATCTAGTACTTCCCCCTTGGGTTTAGTCTTCAAAGACTATATTTAACCACAAAATCACTAAATATAGAGACCAACAAATCGTCGGAGGTCACTTTTATTCTAACCGGTTCACATGAAGTAACTCAGTTAAACTACAAGTAAGCCACATTTCCACCTACTTTTGAATATCGCTCTTTGTTGCTTATCATTCGCAAATTTATTATGACCTTTATAATGGAGCTCAAACTGACTGTTTTTGTATCACCTTCAACATTGCGTGAACAATAAAAAAAAGTAAAAATGATAATGATAAAAACATAAGGCAATGTCAACTCTTATCTTTATTGCAACAAGTAGTACACAGTTTACAAGCAATTTGTGATTTATTTTTATTGTAATTAACAAAACTTAACATATCAAATGATTGACTCGTTTGCCAAATGGAACACCTAAGCATTCTTTAACTTTGGTTGTGAAAATAATTTGAAGAAAAACGAAACAATCGATCGAATTAATTTGATCACACAGAATATGACCAATGCTAAGACACTAAAAATGAATGCCCAAACGTCTAAATTGTACAATTCATAGAATGGCAATTCTACAGCAACACTCTTCAAATGTGGAGCACCCTTATTTTTAGCCACATGCTTGATCCAGTGTATTGCGGTTTTCAATGAAGTCAGCGGTTGGTCGCGGAATCTATCTGAAGTAATCTCAGCTTGTTCGGCGTAGCTGAAAATGATTGTTGGAAGCAAAAAAATGAGAATGTAATAATTTACACCATAATCTATTTCAAAGCCAAACATACCTCACTCATTGTATACAAAAGCGTAAACACAACGCGTATAAAGTAAAATCTTATCTATAAATTGCACAGTTCAGTTTATGGTGAACCTAAAAGAAAATACTAAGTGTCCCAATAAGTAGTAAACTATCGCTAGATCGAACTACATCTAATAATCAGAATCAAAATATTAGCACAAGTTTTGTTTAGAAGTTTGGAAACATTTTTGAGCATTTTTCCGTTCAAATACGAGGAACCGTGTGGAAAATACTATTTTATCCGTAGCGATGAAGTTGATTTTATATTACTATTTTACAATCGAAAAACGCATATTTTCAAGTTGAAAATTTCAACATCATCCCGGGTGAACTTGCAACATACGCTTCCGTTCGTTTCTTCCCATGTGTATGGCTATGGCGGTACGTTGTGTGTCTTAACGCGGAATAATCACGTGTTTAGGAAAAAAACATAAGAAATTAAGACATCTACTAGGAAGATTGTTTTTGTTGTATGAAAATATCAAATGTATGCGATTTCACATTATTTATTGACAAATATCAATAACCATATTATGTAGAACCATATTTGATACGTTTTATTGACTTTTGGAAATACGGATGGCTATATGTCTAGAATTCTTAAAGTATTTTTCGGTGAAACTTTGATGGTTTACGCTTCAAGGATGGCTTGAACCATGTGTGCATAGTTCCAATATAACTATGCTTTGTATGATTTGATTAAGGAAATTACAGTTTCTTTCACTTTCCTTCTTAGAACCTTTCCCGAAGGTGTTGTTGGCAGTGAATCAACAAAATAAACACCGCCTCGAAGTTTGTAATGGTCCGCAAAGTGATCTGATTGTAAAAAAGAACAAAATATTAACCAAATTAATTGATTAAACTCGAAAAGTACAATTTTGAAAGTGGAGCCATCTATGAATTTGGTGCATTGAATGAAAAATGCTTCGAATTACCTGCAATCAAATCGAAAACTTCTTTCTCTGAAATATTCGACCCATTAGCCCGTACAATCACTGCTGCTGGCAGATCAGTAGCAAATTCATTAGGAATGCCAACGACGCAGGCCGATTTGATACCAGGCGATTCGATCAAATAGGCATCGATTTCTGATGGAGAAATCTGAAAACTGCAATATTTCAAAATGTCCTTCTTCCGATCGACAATAAACAAATATCCATCTTCATCGAAGTGGCCAATGTCTCCGGTCATGTAAAAACCTTCGTCATCAAAAAGGTCATCGGTTGCCTTCTGATTGCCATAATATCCAAGGATGCGATAATTCACTTTGAGACATATCTCTCCATCAACATTGACTTCACACCGTTGACCTTGATCGTCAATAATTTTAACACGGATTCCAACGGTTAATCGACCAACGCAATCTTTGCCGCTAGGTTGGGGAAAATCGAGCGCTACAACACCACCAATTTCACTGATTCCATAGCCGACGTGCACATTTCCATTTGGAAGAAAAGAACTCATTTCGGTTTTCACATGAAAAGGCACTTTACTTCCGCCAACAAACCAGGATTTTAAACTCGATAAATCGGCCTTAGCAAGCTCATCACTTTTCAACATCAGCACTATTTGATGCGGTGCATTCGCCGTAGTTGTCACTTTATATTTTTCGATTAATCGAAGCTGCAGTTCTGGCGAAAGGGCTTCAGTTGTTATAATACGAGTTGCGCCACATATTGTTCCGCGCAGCAATATCGCGATGCCACTTACCCAGTAGAGTGAACCAACGCATAGCACCACATCACTCGGCTTTGAAATACGAAACGAAGGTAAGTTTTCAAGCAATGCGGCATGAGACAAACAAACTCCTATTTGTTGAAAAATAAATTAAATTGAAATCAAAGAATTAAGTAAATTTGAAAACGATCTGGAACTTTACAAAAAAATAAATAAAAATAAACCTTTCGACAATCCAGTTGTGCCAGACGAGCAAACGATTGCGGCAGTTTCATTCTCACCATCGACTGTCGTGGGTCTGTTTTAACGTAATTTTTATGAAATAATATCCATGAATATTTAAATGACTTTCTCATAGAAATGAATACAACATGAAATCCTCGAGCTTGAATCACACTTACATAAAATCGTCTTCGTTGTGAGTTTCGGAAAATAAATTCTCCACTGGTTCGGTTTCATCTTTGCTGCCACCAAACGTGAATATTTTTGCATCGTTTCCCAGTTCCGTAAAACATTCTCTCACAAGATCATGGCACTCAACATCGCAGAACATTAGAGTTGGTTTTGTCATTTCCAGCATATGAATAAGCTCGGTTTTTCCAAATGAAGGATCAAGCGTGTTGACTGGACAGCCAATACTTATCGAAGCAAACACAATTGGCGCAACATGATGTGAATTTTTCGCCATCAATCCGAATACCTGTCTTGGTTCATATCCACGTTTTTGAAGGTTTTTAGCGGCTCGAACGGTTTTAATGCGAATTTCATCAAATGTCATTTGGACACCATTGTTATCGTTTATCTATAAAAAAAAGGTAGTTTGAGAAATTACTCACAATATGATTGTTGATCACTCTGGATTTGGGATTTGTCAAGTATACTTGTGCGATTTTCGATCCATAAGCTGTTAATGCGTCTAGCAATACTTGAGCTAGTGACACTTCGGGATTATACACCGGGGGAAGATCACAACCACTCCACTCTTTAGCATCTGCATCGTACTTTGTTGGAGACATTTTTAAGCGATATGTGCTTTTCTCGAAAAGAAATAAATTATGATTGATTTTTAAAATATACTAGACCATGAAACAGTCGAAACCAAACTGCAAGTGATAGTGCAGAGTTTAATTTATAAAATTAACAATTTAGTCTTAGCTAAAAAAAAATTCATTTTTACAACTGAATGTATTTCTGATTTAAGTTGGACTGGATCTTATTTGGCAAAGAAGCGTATTTATAGCGAAATTTTATCTTATCATTTCTTGACAAAGATTTATAGATATCCCAAAAATGTTCACTTCAACAACACATTGATTATACCAATAATTTTGATCACGAATGACATTTTAACTGAACACGCAAAAACACTTATTATTAGAAAACACAAAATCGAAATTTCGTTTGAAATCACCTTATTGTTTTTGCTATTGTAGCACAAAAGATACACAATTGTACTTACTTAAAGTGAATGCGCATTTCGAAACGCTCAACGGGCGTTCATCATCAGCACTGACACGACTCTCGATTTTTGCCGGTGATTTGTGAGACGAAAAAAAAAACGACAACACACCATCATTCATAATATCAATAAAAAATAGCGAACTATGGTCAAGTAATTGATGATTGCGTGCATTTGAATGCCTTGAAAACAAAGTGCAATTATATAACATTTATTGATCTAGTACAGACCCTTTTACAATAATCGCTTATCTTCAACTGCTTTCACATATTTGTTTCTTTCATTATTATTGTTCATATATTGAAATTTACTTTCATTAAAATGTCTAACTGCTGACCAAAAGCACTGATTTTTCAAGTAATCGTTCGTGTACGTCGGTAGTTTTAATTATTCTGTGTTGCGTGATGGCCTATTGTTGTTCCACACTAGTTTCGATTTTAAAAATGTTGATTCTAAATTATCATGCAATAAATCATATATGAACACACAACAGGCATATACATATCTTCTGTGAATCGAGTCAATATTTAGTTCTGAGCAACGGTCATCATAGGGACGAATTGTGTAATTATTATTTGCGTTGGGATATTCTTTGAGTGCCATCATAGTAAATCTTTTCTGAACTCCCTCAATAAAGTCTTTATCTGTGGCCGTGAAAGGGTACCAAATAGCGATACCAAACAATAGTTTACTTTTTACGAATGCGTTGAATAGAACAAACAGAGTGTCAACGTCGAATTTTTTTCCCGCTGTGCGTTTTATGAATCCCATTGTGGAGTTACACGTGGCAACTAATGATTCAATGTGTTTCTTAAATGTTAGCCGTTCATTGATTCTTATACCCAAATCCCGAAAGTCATGAACTCTGTTCAATAATACATCACTCATTTTATATTGTCCGATAAATTTCCCACCACTTCTACTCATAGTGAGAACAGCACATTTCAAAATATTTAGCTCCAATTTATTGTCTTTACACCATTTCAATAATTTGTTGATTTCCAATTGAAACAAAACTAGGTCTTCATTGCTTTTTAACTTCATTACTACTTTGCAGTCGTCAGCAAACAATAGAATCTTGATATATTTCTCAAATATGGTCGGTAAATCATTAATGTAAATCAAAACCAAAACAGGGCCCAAAACGCTACCAGCTGGGACACCTGCATTTTCGTATACATTTTTATCATTTGATCTACTCGGTGGAATGTATACACAAAACACAATTATAGCCCTTACATTGCTTAAAATCATCCGGGCTCCTACCATTTCAATATCACTAAAATTATTTAAATTAATTTGCTCAATATAATAATTTTCATTTTTCTTTATCGCAATTCATGTGCCGCCACCAGGTGATTTTTTGCTTTTTAATATTAAACGATCACAGCGAAAAACCGAGAAACTATCACAAAAATATTCTTGGTCTAAATTTTCTTCATCCAAAAAAGTTTCAGTCAATGCTATTATATCATATTCACTGTCAAATGTTTTCGGTTTTATGTTTTGGTTCTTTTTCCTTAAACTACGGACATTTTGTAAATAGATAAAAAGAGAAAAATATTCCCAGAAAATTTCAATAATGTCATTGTTGTTGATGTCTTTTTTTTGTATTTTGAGTTTTTGTTTGATTTTTGTTTTTTTGATTTTTTTGTGTTTTTTTATTATTATTATTATCATTGTTACTATTATTATTTGAATCTACAGTGTAGTTTAATTCCTTCATTTGTCCTAACAAACTGTTAATTCTATCATAAAATTCCTCAACGTTCTTGTCATTCAATTCTTTGTCTTTAAGTTGATTCATACAAACTAACATCTCTAAATCTACAATACTTATTTCTTTGGTGGATTTTTCGTTGCACTGGTATTCATTCGTTTTTATTCCAGTTGCTGATGAGTGTTGTTTGTGTCCCGAAAATTTGAACCAAAGTGAAGAACGCAAAAAATCGCAATTGTACAACAAATTTCGTGTTTTTGCTGAACTGATAAAAGATAGATTCTCGGCGTCTTCAGCAAATTTATAGTGCTTGAGGCCTTCCGCAACTTTGCTTCAGACAGTTCCCACTCATCTCCCATGAGTTTCGCAGAAAACGCGAAGAATGATAAGAAAAAAATGTCATAGGTCGATGTTTTTGATTTGCGCCCAATTGATAAGAGATAAGAGATAATTGTCATACCTCGAGCATGCTTTTGTATCTTTGCCAAAAATGGTTCTGTACTAAGCTGAAAAAACTTAGCTAACAATTTAAAATACATTGCGCCACGCAAGCCATCTAGATGGCGCCACAAGAAAATTTGGTTCTTATACGAGGTGTATGCTCAAGATATGATAATTGTCTTCAGCAATGTTATAGAAGATCTCAAGTACTACAACTTTTTTGAAGACAACTTGTTGTTATCTTTTATCAGTTACGCGGAAACCGTGAAAAACCGGGACGACCCGCCAAAAATGAACATACATTCTTTCAACCATTGTTAGTTGCAGTAAAATATACTTCTCTTTATTGCTACGACGTTTGACAAACTTGTGTTCTTCTAGGTCTCACCAATTCATATCCACTATCGACCCACTTTGTTTTCAAGGCATTCAAATGCACGCAAACATCAATTACTTGACCATAGTTCGCTATTATTTATTGATATTATGAATAGCATTATTGAGCATTATTGAGAATTCCGAAGGATTATTTGGGATTATTTTTGTACTAGATTGCATTATTTGAATTATACAAATCTAGTACTTTCCCCCTTGATTGGGAGCATATACCTTACCATGATAAATCAGTTTGGAGCACCCTAATGTAAGATTCTTTGTTGTTGTGTGCCTGATAGGTTGTTCGGGGTCTATCTTTGTGTCGACAGGCCAAAGGATATAGGCGAGAAAACCCAAAACTCAATTTGACTCAAGCTTTGAAGTGAATTTCAAAAGAAAATCACATAGTCATGTCCGCCAAATTAATTATTATCTGGTTCAAACACAAGTTTTCGGCATAGAACAATGGTTCACATTTCAAACATCGACGAATGCAATGGCTCGTCTCCGACTGCTGCTTATGCTATCCGACTCAAGTAACGTTCGTGTCAATTGGCACAAATCCAATTTTTCGGCTCCCTTTCTCTCTCTCTCTTTGTGGCGTTTCGTGTCGATAAGACAGACCGAGAGAGAAAACATCAGAAATAAGTGTAGCTACTTTAATACACTCTGTGGCTTCCTCTTTTGTTCCATCCGATCTGCACTTTGGCCAACCAAATGTTACGAATTTTCCCAATTTTCAAATCGGTTCGGCTGCAGAAAGATATTGCCCAAACCAAAATCACATACACAATGGCAAAGTTCGAAACAAAAACAAACGCCGAAGAGAGAGAGAGAGAGAGAGCCAAAAATCCATTGGCATCGTATTTCATTTGTTTTCCGCCCTTGTGCAAGGCAAGTGCTTCTTCTTGCTCAACTTACAAGTTTATTTATTTTCCTCTTTCGGCAAATAATGAAATTGGACTGTGCTGCGACTGACATGAAAGGAAAAACACTATGAAATGGCCAATACTTCAGTGTCTCAAAAACAATACCAAATATTGCCAATCGTCGACATATTGCATTTTTGGAGCAAATTCTACAACGAACAATGGAATGATGGAAACAGGGGTAGAATGCACTTCAATTGTGATAAAAACTCATTTTAATGAGCTTGATTTTAAAGTTCTGCAAATCTGCAATTTCTTCTACATTTTTAGGAAATTGAAATGACGTAGGAAAACCAACTCACCAACAAAAAGAAATCAATTTTAATTCTCCCATTCGGTCAATAGCAACGATTTGCTTTTTGTTTTTCATTACAATCACAATGAATAACACTGAATTGGAATTGCAGATCGATTTACAATTTTTTGGGATTGTAAAAACAAGCCGGTGTACAGAGCTTCCGTTTGGCTGTCGGCAAAGTTTCATTTCATATTTGTAATGCAAACAACATACAAATGTTGTATTTGGATTAAAAATAAATTGCGATCATATTTACTTTTTGGTGGCCGCCAACCACTTATTTCACACTCTCTCGACTCATTCTCACTCTGGCACGTACTTCACATTAGCTGAGTCTCTCTCTCGACAAATAAAAAAGCACATCGCCATTATAAAATGCATCAAATGAGAATTGCAATGATGAATTTTTTTTTTGTGATTACATACAAAGCCTTTTTTCTCTGTTTTTGTTATTATTAAAATTTTATTGAATCGCTGTTCACACCGGCAAGTTTTGCCATAGAATACGGGTGTGAGCGTCAAGTGTGTGTGATGGTTTATGTGTTCAACTTTGCGTAGCAAATATTTTATTATTTCCATTTTGCCATTGGGTCATTTTTCGTGACGATGGTGTAATTTTCGTGGCGTTTGAATGGAACAACCATTTTTCACCTCTTTTTTCAATCATCCATCAGCCAGGGGAATTAAAAACAGATTTTTAATTTTCTTTTCAATTAGCCAATTCGCATCGATCTTCGGGTTTGAACCATTCAATTGAAAGAGAGAGAGGAAAAAACCGACGTGGTTTATCTTTTTTTCCCCGCAGATATTCAATCAATCACAAACATTTTCACATTTCAATGATTTATTCCAATGATTTTAATGAGTTACAATTTTCTCTTTTTATTCAACATTTCCGTTTTTAACTCACATGGATTTTTTGCTCCAATGAATTTTTTTCCCGAGTTTTGTTTTCATTTCGAAACAGCAAATACAAATCGACGGTTC